AATGTGCCTGTAAAAATATCACTTGAACATAGAACCTTAGAGCCCAGACTGATGTAACACACAACTCTCTAGTTAAATCCTTTCATTTTTACTAATGAAACAACTGAGGTCCAATGAGATTGAATAATTTGATCGGCATCCCATTAAATAAATAAATAAATAAATAAATAAATAAATAAATAAAAATTAGGGGGAAGGATTAATGCCTGTAAAAATATCACTTGAACATAGAACCTTAGAGCCCAGACTGATGTAACACACAACTCTCTAGTTAAATCCTTTCATTTTTACTAATGAAACAACTGAGGTCCAATGAGATTGAATAATTTGATCTAGGCATCCCATTTTATAAATGCAAGGGTATTTACAACCCGGGTCTCCATCTGTATGATGCTCTGCTGTTGGTTTGTGATAGTTGAGGATCACTATTTGATCTGAGATGCCGAGTCTTGAATCCAAGTCCTACCAATTTTATCATCTCTGTACCTGGAAAATGCTCTAACCTTTTTAAAATGAAGTTCCCTCACCTACATGATGGGGCCAACAATTATACCAACCTCGCACACTTGTAAGGAAATACTAGAATACTCAGTACTGTCTTGGCAGACAAAGTGCTCAATCCACTTTATCTATTACTATTGCACTTGATAAGGATGTAACAAATACCCCCTCGTATACTCTGAACATAACTAAGGTACACTACAAAGGAGAGTAACCCCATTGCAATAAGGGATGCACATATACCAGTGATTTTAACACTGCTAGCAACCAGCAAGGCAGTGAGAACAAATACATGACAACCACTGCCCAGAGGAAGAAAGATACTGGCAGATCACTGGCTTGCCCTTTCATTTTCTATTAATTTTGCAGATAATCAGCATCCTTGAGGTCAAATCTCTGCCCTTCCTCTACCTTTACATGAAATTATCTCTGTATCTATGGATCCTCTGTACTTGTTTTAACTGATATTCATAATGGTCACAAAGAACAATCAGATTTGGAATAAAATAGTGAAAAAAAGAATGTATTTTAGCCAAGCTTTGATTCTTATCCTGAGTTAAATCCTATTATGCAGAAATTTAATTTTATGCAAGCTCCTCACCAAAGCAAATAAACTGATGCTTCACTAAATGGCCTTATACTCAATGATTTTTAAATTATTTTTATTTCTTAAGCAGCAAGTAAATATATGAAAAAACGCTCCACATCACTGGTCATTCGAGAGATGCAGATGAAAACAACAGAGATTTCACCTCACCCCACAAAGAATGGCTGCTATCAAGAAATCACACAACAATAAATGTTGGCGCGGTTGTGGGGAGAAAGGAACCCTTCTCCATTGCTGGTGGGAGTGCAGACTGGTGCAACCACTATGGAAATCAATATGGAGATTCCTCAAAGAGCTGGGATTAGAGGTTCCATTTGACCCAGCCATCCCTCTGTTGGGTATCTTTCCAAAAGAATTAAAAGAATCATATCACAGTGATATATGCGCACCCATGTTTATAGCAGCACAGTTTGTAATAGCTAAAACTTGGAAACAGCCCATCTGCCCATCAGTTGGAAACTGGATAAAGAAGATGTGGTTTTTCTATAAAATGGAATACTACTCAGCCATAAAGAATGAGAAAGTAGATTCATTCATAGGTAAATGGGTACATTTTGAGGATATACTCCTAAGTGAAATAAATAAGTCACACATATGCAAATACTGAAGTTTCTCTGGTGTGAAAAACTAAAATAGTACTCAAGATCCTAATGGGACAATTAGCAATGTGAAGTAGGAAGAAAAGGACCAAAGGTGTAGGGACAGTGAGAAGGATAGGGAAAAGGAAAAAAATATGAGAAAATGTAAAAATAGAATTAAAGTGTTTGAAGGTGGGGAGTGGAGGAGGGGGTGAAGGGCGGGTTCGGACAAGCGGAAAAATGAGAACCAAGACCTGGCATGTAAAGGTACAAGATCCCAGTAATGAATGTAACTGTAGTGTCTACCTAGAATGTACCAATAAATTCAATTTAAAAATTTTTTTTAATTATTTTTATTTCTTGATTTTTATTCATATAATTTGAAGTACACTCACAATTACTGGAATGATATTCTGAGAGCTGTTTCCCTTCGTGTTCAGTCCAAGGAGAGGGTACGATGACATCTTTAGTGAAAAACTAGGAAAATTAAGGTCATATAATTAGGCATAAATTTTTCTCCAAATGTGAAAAAGTGCCTGTAGTATTTTCAAATAACCATTAATCATTCATATACTAACTTTGTAGTTATTTTAAATCATGAATACTTAAAAACACAAATGGCCCAAGGTAAAAATGGAAAAATGTAAAGTATATATAAAAAGAAATCATAATATTTCCAATCAACCACTTTAATTTAAAACTTAAAAATTAAGCTACGGCATGAATCATAGAGAACATATTTTTAATTGTTCATCCCTTATTTTGGGGAGAGGCAAAAGAGCAGCTTAAGAGGTAAGGAATAAATGGAGATAAAGGTACAAAACTAAGCCAGTATAAATGGTGGGCTGGAGCTACCTTGTACTAGCTCCCTAGATGTAATTATTAAATTTTCAGGAATCTTTGTATACCAGTTGTTAAAGCCATTATTAAATATCAAATTATGTTAATTTATAGTTAAATTATATTAAAATATCCAAAACTCATCATTTGCTAATTATGTGATTATATTTACCAGTATCTATGCTGGAGATTAACTGCCCCTCTTGTATCTATACAGTAGATTCCTACATACAGTGTTGTGCAACTGCACTTCCCCTTTCTGTGATGTTGTATCAGCAGCTTGAAATTGGTTGGTGTTAAGAGGACTTACACTACAAAGACCAGCAATCATATAAACCATATTCCATAACGATATTCTATAACCAGAAGGCCACTAGCTGGATTTATTTCTTTCTTCTTTCATTTCTAATACAGTATTTTTCCGTTCCCTGTGTTTTTGGGGAAAAATATTTTCTTTTTATTTGGCTACAAACATGATAACAAATTAATTACCTATGAATCATGAGAAAAAGATTGAAAAAACAAAGGGAATGGGAAAGAGATTATGAGTTTGCAGGAAAAAATACAGAGAACTCCCAAAGTTATGATGTGATACATATGAGTTCACTCAAAATTTTAAAAACTAAAAATCCAAACAACAGGGCCGGGGATTTAGCTCAGCAGTTCTGCTGCCTACCTTGCCAGCGCAAAGATCTGAGTTCAATCCCCGGTACCAAAAAAAAAAAAAAAACAAAAAACAAAAATCCAAACAACAAAATATTATTTTTATAGTAAGAGTAACACCCATATTTTTAAATTTTGATAATAATTAGTACGACAGATTAAGAAAAAACAAGCAATATTATAATGAACCAGGAGTATAAATGGGTACCTTTTAGGAGGGCAATACGGCAAAATCTACCAAAACAGAAAATCCACCAAGTCCCTGATTTAGCAAGTCCACTTCAAGTATACAAAATAAAGTAGCTAATCACAAAACTATGATTCAAGGAACACAGCTTAAGTATCTATTAATAAGGGCCATTACTATGGAATATAAAAATCTGTAAGTGCTAATTATCAAAAAATATCTAAGAAAGATTACTGAGCAAAAAAGAGTTAAAACAGTATGAACAGAATGAACCTATTTGTCTAAAATAGTGGATGCATGTGATATAAATATGTGATATACATAAATTAATCTCTAATTATAGACAAGAAATGTTATTACAATTGTCTTCTGAGGGTGGGATGGAGGAACAAGAGCTTCTCATTTTCATTTTATATTTTTCCTTGGCATTTGAAATTTTGCATTTAACATGACATATAATTATTCTATTTTCAAAACTATGTTAAAAAATTTGTTTCTGATATATAAACCCTATTGTCACTCTCTGATTGCCTTAAATTTTATCTGCTGAGATTCCCTTTGAAAGGATTCTAAAGAGAAAGCACATTTTCCAAAATATTGGAAAATTAGAAAGAGGCTAAGAATATTTGGCTGGGTAGGAATTACACGACTGGATACAATGACAATGAAAATTTTGGAGCTAAAGAGGTAGAGAATGTTTGGAAGGAGTGAACACATGTAACTATTTTCTAAAAATAGGCTATAATCTCTAATTCAAGGAGAACACACCCACACTACTGGATAGCACTGTAGGTGCATCCCCTGACCCCAGAATATGCCACACATGAAGTTTTTAGGGGATAAAGAAGAGCCGAATATAGCTAAAGAATAGAGGCAGGGAGAGGAGGTCAGAGAAGGAAAAGGGAAAAATCAGAAATGTTGCCATGGTCTAAAGACTTTCTGAACCTTACACTCTAAGGAATTCAGCAAATAAAAGAGAAAAAGTAAAAAACTTTATTTTTTTCACTAAAACAACAGCAACAACAAAAAAACTCCTACATTTATACTTAGCAAAATATATTTTAATTCCTGAAATACATTATCTTAACAATCCTAAGTATTAGTAATAAATGACAAATCCATTATCTATCCCAACCTATACTTTGAAGGCCTGAAAATATCTGACTTCTTTATATAAACTTCAACTTGAAAGGTAATTTTGTGCTACTTAATATTCTAGGGCATGAGAAAGTCAAATTTTTGTGAAGCCCTGAAAATGAGAAGAATGAAGCACAATACTGCCCAAAAACTAGTTAGACCAGGGGAGAGAGCACTAAACAAGCACTGCGAGGGCTGGGGATTTAACTCAGTGGTGCTGCCACCTGCCTTGCAAGTGCAAGGTCCTGAGTTCGATCCCTGGTACCAAAAAAAAAAAAAAAAAAAAAA